ACCCCCACCCCTCTTGCTCGCTATTAAATTTTATAGAGCATTTATACGATATTTCTTTGGGTTGTTTTTTTTTTTTTTTTTTTTTTTTTTTTTTTTTTGTTTTTTTTTTTTTTTGTTTTTTTTTTTTTTTTGATGATTGCTTCACTCTGCCATTTCGTCTTCACAAGCCCACGTCATCTTTTCATTCCCTTGTATAAAGGACAATCGCCTCGGCCACCCGTACGATAACTGCCGTGACGGCCGTCTGGTGCACGTGCCCAGCAGTACCTACGACTACGCCATCCCTTCCTGCAAGATGGACTGCTACGTTTCTTTTGTCGTGGACAAGTGCGGATGCAGGGATTACTTCATGCCGGGAAGTGAGTCCGTGATTTTGTGTTTTGATCATTACTACAGGAAAGTGGTAGTTAACGCACGTCAATCATTCATCAATCATGATAAATATAGAAGGGTGAGGGGGGGGTGAAAAGACCCGGATGTGGGCCATTGGCAGCAGGTTTAAACGTCCCTGGTCTGGACTTGGTGAACGGCTTTGATTTGGTGTTGCCATAAATTAAGCCAACTTATAATGTCATCTGCCTGTTATGTAATTCTCCCACAAGCTCTTGTGGTTTTGAAACTATGTTCTTCGGATCAATGGGTTTTTTTTTTTTTTTTGTCTTTTAGTTAAGGCAACCTGTTACTAAATCGTGGAGACGGGTTGTCGCGTATAAGCTCAAAGCGCGTTGGAAACAAGTCATCTATCATTGACGCTTTTTTACCCATGGGCTTTTATAATTTTATAAATACGTTTTTTAGTGTTAACGGCAGTTTGCAGTTTTAATAAGTACAAAAAATACACTATACATCTCGGTGGAGATGTATGGTATTCAACATGTACACCATGTATTTGATATTCCCTTTGATGCTCTACTCTCAATATCCCATATTCCATCTGCATACATTGTGCGTACGTTGTGCACACGTTGTGCGTACATTGTATATACGTTGTGCATACGTTGCTTTTTCTGGTGAAATATTTCAATGGTCACCTTGTCTCACGACAGATTCTCCGGTCTGTACAATGACGCAGTATGTGCTTTGTCTTCGAGATGCTCAGAGTAAGTATAATTTAATCATTTTATATAATTTTATATAGAGCAACTTTGAAAATTGCAGAACTTTCGAGTCATATTATCAAGCCACTCAAGTAAATTTCATTTTAATCCTTACTTCACAAACTGTCTGAATGGACTTCCACTGATTGTGAACGTAGTGTGTAAAGCTAACCACTGAGTACCTCAGTTTTAATCCTTACTTCACAAACTGACTTAATGGACATTCACTGATTGTAAACGAAGTGTGTAAAGCTAACCACTGAGTACCTCAGTTTTAATCCTTACTTCACAAACTGACTTAATGGACATTCACTGATTGTAAATGAAGTGTGTAAAGCTAACCACTGAGTACCTCAGTTGTAATCCTTACTTCACAAACTGACTTAATGAACATTCACTGATTATAAACGAAGTGTGTAAAGCTAACCACGGAGTACCTCAGTTTTAAATCTTTACTTCACAAACTGACTTAATGGACATTCACTGATTGTAAACGAAGTGTGTAAAGCTAACCACGGAGTACCTCAGTTTAAATCCTTACTTCACAAACTGACTTGTCTGACTGTACTCAAAATAGATGTAAAGCTAACCGTTCAGTACCTATAAGTTGTAAACAGTCAGCAAGGCGCTGCTCTTATGGCAATACCTATCTATGTTAACACTGTGCTGAACTAAACACACTTACTTGACAGGCGTGTTTATAGTTTTATTCAATCGCCCACCCTGTCCATCATGCAGTAGCGTACGACGGCCTGGAGGACAAGTTCTGTGAATGCCACAACCCGTGCAGTTCAGTGTACACCGAGCCCAGCTATTCTTACGGTGCACTGTCCAAATCTGCCATCGATAAATTAAAACCAGGTCTGTCATTAAATCAGTGCAACAATGATAAAGATGTGTTCATTCTTATGAATCGACCCTGCTTCAGTTATTCACTACGTGAACTCCTTGCTCTCAAATACAGTTATGAATCAATGCTCGGGTGCATATTTTTAAAAGACGGACTGCATTTAAACACAGTTTTTTTTTAAGATTGTATATATATATATATATATATTTATTTATTTATTTATTTATTTATATATATATATATATATATTTATTTATATATATATATATAATATATAAATATGCATATACAATTGGTAAAAATATTAGGAGGCTTATTATGGTTTCAATAACTTTTGTACATGGATTTTTTAACTTGTAACGCATCACATGTGGTGCAACTGAACAGGCACGACTCATAATTTTGAAGCATTCATTTCCCTAAACTGAGTACAAAATAGTTTTTTTTTAATAAAAGAGAAATATCTTTCCAATGGTTACATACCCATTTTTTTTTTAATGACAAATACGATTTATCAAAAGATCATCCTTAATCGGTATATTTTTTTTTTGAGTTAAAACAAAATGAGATAAGTAGTTGTATAATGGCAGGCGACATAGAGAAGATAAAGCCACGGTACAGACGGGCGTTGGACGTTGCTGAGTACCTGACATCGGAGAACCAGTACAAAAAAGACATGTATGCCAACTTCTCGCACAGTCTGAGCTCGCTCCGGGGGTACTACGAGAAGGTTTTCGAGGTGAAAGTGCTTAGTGCTCAACAGGTAATTATGGTGTGCTTAGTTCATTTAATTTTTTTTTTTTTCTTATTATCAACACTTTTATTCATTTTTTTTTTCTTCTTCCTCCTGAGTTTTCGTAGGATATCACTATGGGCACGTGTGTTGTGATGGGTCTAAATAGGAGGGAGGTTCACATTATTTTTCAGATATTTATATAAAGCTTTTCGCGAGGCACATTTTCTTAATGTACCTTTCAAAGTGACTCCGCAACACTGTCAGTCGGAAGTTCAATGGAAGGAGCGGGAAAGTCCAATGGAAGTGAAACTACAAAACCGTACTCTCTAATCTATAGCTGATTAACTCGAAGCTAGACATTTATGAAAAGTCTTTTTATTATAAATGTATATATTATTTTTCAAGAGCTGTCATTTAACATGCGCTATTTCAAAGGTTGGACAGAAAAAAGGAAATACTTTTTTTTAGATTTATTCATATTCTCCGAAAGAGTTAAATACAATCCAAAATTCTGATCGTATGCTCTTCTCTTCGTTATTTTTTTTTTGTTTAAGTCATAAACCTTTCTAATTCTAGAATCTAAAAGAATTGCGCCAAAGAGCAGACAAGATTTATCAGATAAGATATGATCTCTTCACGACACAAATGTCTCTGGTGGAGAAAATGTTTGGAGGAGAACAGGGTGTGGACCGTGAGGCTTCAGGTAATGCAAGGTGTGAAGCGAAAGGCTTCAGGTAATGCAAGGTGTGAAGCGAAAGGCTTCAGGTAATGCAAGAGGTTAAGCGAAAGGCTTCAGGTAATGCAACCTATTTTACGAACTTGCCGTGATCATAAGAAATGTTATGAAGTTTCCAAAAGCATGTTACTTTGGTGTTTATTCACGACTGAACCAAAAAAAAATAATAAATTTTCAACCCCATAAATAGGGCACTTTGGTTCCAATCAATGATGTATGAAAACATGGGCGGAGGGGATTATCAGCACCAGGCGGCACCCGACGGCACCATTAAGTGGCGGTATTTTTAGCTCCACTGAATATTCTAGAAATGGCTGAAAGCATACACATCTCAGCATGATCGATAAAAATAAACCACGCACATCATAACATAAGTTGTAAGGTTTTCGTGAGCGAAGTAATTCAAAGTCAAACTACCCCCATCCATGAAGTCATCAGTTAAAGGGTGCTTGTCGCCCATGGGAATTACTCATTTTTCGAATCAAAATATCTTCGATTTCTGAAGCTGCTGAAACAGATAGGAATTTTTAAAAAATTACTTGAATGACATAACATGTTTTTTTTTGAACTGTAACTATTTCAATGGGTTGTTCAATGCTATTTGCCATAGAGATGAGAACTAACGTAAAAAAAATAATAAATGTCTCCAGTCATCAATTTATGGATAACATTTAATTTCAATAGGTTTTCCGAAATGCAGAAGACGTAAAACTTAAGGGTAAAAAGGTTTGAGAGACGGTTGGGGGGGGGGGGGCTGGGTAAGTCAAATGACCCAAATATATGCATATAGTACACGATATATATATATATTTTTTTTGTAATTTAATTCCCAATTGTCGGCCAATATGTTAAATCTTAGGGTGGATTCTGTAAGTCACAGGCCATGAGTTCGAAGCCTTGCTCTTGCCAACGTTCACATATTGCAGTTTACGCACAGGCTGGGGTGTTCGCTTCCAATGGGGACATTCGTTGCGTATAATAATTCTTAATTTGTTTTTTTTTTTCTTTCGGGCAGGTGAGTCGCTGGAGGACTATCAGGTATTCGCTCACACTGTCCTAAACAAACTGCAGAAGATTGGGGAAACGACGAACCCGAGTGTGAGAGAACTGCTCTACATTTTACTGACAGAGGAAATTCAAGGGAGGTAAGGCCACAAAGGTAGAGGGGGGGGGGGTGGTGAATGTAAGTAACAGTTTGTGACAGACTTTACGGACGGCCCCCAATAATATTTTTTTTTTTAAACTATAAAAATTTTAATTGCTGATTTCATTATGAATTGTCACTAACCCACAACCTGTCAAAATGTTCTTATACTTCTACTAAATTTCGTTCTCATATAACTTATTGAGTGTCGTATCCGGAAATTTGTTTGAAAGAAATTTCGTCGACAGCAAATTGATCGACGGAAACGCATTATTTTGTTTTACCATATATAGTGCATTTAAAGAGAAATTTGACGCAAAATTTTAACATGTGCACTTTAATAAAAAAAAAAAGATTCGACCAAATTTCCGTCGACGAAATTTCTTTCAAACAAATTTCCGGGAACCGTTGCATGCTATTTGATCCTACATAGGAACGGCATCGTGAACTCCAGCCTCCGGAACTTTGATGGGTTGATAGAAACTTACGAACATGTGATGGCCAACCACAGCCTCCCGGTGGAGGTCTTCAGTCGTTTGGAAGGAGTTGAGCCTCAAGTAAGTGACATGTGTGCCGCAAGTAAGTGACGTGTGTGCCGCAAGTAAGTGGCATGTGTGCCGCAAGTAAGTAGCATGTGTGCCGCAAGTGAGTGGCATGTGTTGATGAAGGCGCAGCAGGAATGAGATGAGAATCTGTTGTAGTGTGAATTGTTACATTTCGTTGTTTTTATTTCCTGACCCTTGTTTATCAAATCGGCATTGCCAATCAAAGATTAATAAGTGCTTCGTAAATTTCTGGGGAGTGGTCATTGTTTGCGGTTGTTCTGAATAGTACTTGTGCACTCGTTCTGATTATTACTTGTGCACTTGTTCTGATTAGTACTTGTGCACTTGTTCTGATAGTATTTAAGCACCTGTTCTGATTAATAGTTGTGCACTTGTTCTGATTAGTACGTGTGCACTTGTTCTGATTAGTTCTTGTGCACTTGTTCTGATTAGTATTTGTGCACTTGTTCTGATTAGTACTTGTGCACTTGTTATGATTAGTACGTGTGCACTTGTTCTGATTAGTACGTGTGCACTTGTTCTGATTAGTACGTGTGCACTTGTTCTGATTAGTACTTAAGCACCTGTTCTGATTAGTACTTAAGCACCTGTTCTGATTAGTACTTGTGTACTTGTTCTGATTAGTACTTGTGCATTTGTTCTAATTAGTAAGTGTACAATTTTTCTGCTTAATACGTGTACACCTTTTCTGCTTAGTACTTGTACACCTGTTCTGCTTTGTACTAGTACTTTTGTTCTTCTTGGTACTGGAATCGATTAAAGGTGAAGGTTAAACATCTGTAATGCTTCAAGTTCTAAAGTGAAAGACTTTGTAAAAGGTTTTACAGTATACGGCTTTTGTGTAAGCTACCACTCAATCTGAGTGGTCAACTATGGTTTCAGTGGAGCGTGACCACTTGCTTCGATTGTTGTAGAACACGTAGAATCCTTATGGAAATTGAAAAAACATGGGGTAGAGGGCGTGGAGATGAGTTAATGTTGTATTTTTTAAAACCAACAATTTTACTGTTATAAAAGTGGGCATCTTGGCCCACAACAACCACACCCACCACACCAACCACACCAAACACTCCCACCACACCAAGCACAACCACCACACCATCCACAACCACCACGCCAACCACACCCACCACACACACACTACCAATCACACCAACCACATCCACCATGCCAACCACACCCACCATACCAACCACGCCCACAACACCCACCACACCCACCACACCCACCACACTAAGCACACCTACCACACCAAGCACACCCACCACACCAAGCACACCCACCACACCAAGCACACCCACCACACCAGACACACCCACCCCACCCACCACACCAACCACACCCACAACACCCACCACACCCAACACACCCACTACACCACGCACACAAACCACACGAACCACACCGACCACACCAAGCACAACCACCACACCCACCACACTAACCACACTAACCACACTAACCACACCCACCACAACAACCACGCCCATCACACCAACCACGCCCACCCCACACACCACACACACCACACCAAGCACACCCACCACACCCACCCCCACCACACCACCCCACCAACCATCCCAACCACACCCAACACACCCGACACACCCAACACACCCACAACCACCACACCAACCACACTCACCTCCACTACACCACGCACACCACCCACACGAACCACACCGACCACACCAACCACAACCACCACACCCACCACACCAACCACACCAACCACACCAACCACACCCACCACAACAACCACGCCTATCACACCAACCACGCCCACCCCACACACCACACACACCACACCAAGCACATCCACCACACCCACCACCACCACACCACCACACCAACCATACCAACCACACCCAACACACCCGACACACCCAACACACCCACAACCACCACACTAACCACACTAACCACACCCACAACAACAACCACGCCCATTACACCAACCACACCCACCCCACCCACCACACCAACCACACCCACAACACCCACCACACCAACCACACCAACCGCACCAACCACACCCACTACACTAACCACACTAGCCCCACCCACCACAACAACCACGCCCATCACACCAATCACGCCCCCAAAAAGTAAATATTTTTTTATCAAATGGAAAATAACCGCTAAATTAATGGTGTGTGGATTGTCCCTACTCTTTCGCAGGACATAATTCCAAAGCAGCTCCTGTGCATGGCGTTTAACCAGTCAGAAGACGGTCGATACGTTGGTGGCTACACTAGGAGCAGCCTGCTGGACATCGCTGGCTTGCTTGGGGAGCTTTTGGGAATCGCCACCGAGGTTTACGAGCTTGGGAACGTTACCCCTGACCTCAATACACGAGCCCAGGTGTGTAGTAAGATAGGCTGGGTAAAAGAGTGGAAAGCGTCTTTGAGGTGACTCTCCTCATAGCCAGCTTTAAAAAAAAAAAATTACTAGTTCACCGTCATCTGCACGGTAGAGAAAGGTTCAGATGGTGAGACTAGGCTAAGTATGTAAAGTAAATATAAGAAATGTTCAGATGGTGAGACTAGGCTAAGTATGTATAGAAAATATAAGAAAGGTTCAGATGATGAGGCTAGGCTAAGTATGTATAGAAAATATAAGAAATGTTCAGATGGTGAGAGTAGGCTAAGTATGTATAGAAAATATAAGAAAGGTTCAGATGGTGAAGTAGGCTAAGTATGTATAGAAAATATAAGAAATGTTCAGATGGTGAGAGTAGGCTAAGTATGTATAGAAAATATAAGAAATGTTCAGATGGTGAGAGTAGGCTAAGTATGTATAGAAAATATAAGAAAGGTTCAGATGGTGAGAGTAGGCTAAGTATGTATAGAAAATATAAGAAATGTTCAGATGGTGAGAGTAGGCTAAGTATGTATAGAAAATATAAGAAAGGTTCAGATGATGAGAGTAGGCTAAGTATGTATAGAAAATATAAGAAATGTTCAGATGGTGAGACTAGGCTAAGTATGTATAGAAAATATAAGAAAGGTTCAGATGATGAGAGTAGGCTAAGTATGTATAGAAAATATAAGAAAGGTTCAGATGATGAGAGTAGGCCAAGTATGTATAGAAAATATAAGAAATGTTCAGATGGTGAGAGTAGGCTAAGTATGTATAGAAAATATAAGAAATGTTCAGATGGTGAGACTAGGCTAAGTATGTATAGAAAATATAAGAAAGGTTCAGATGATGAGAGTAGGCTAAGTATGTATAGAAAATATAAGAAATGTTCAGATGATGAGAGTAGGCCAAGTATGTATAGAAAATATAAGAAATGTTCAGATGGTGAGGCTAGGCTAAGTATGTATAGAAAATATACGACAATTTATGGGAATAAATTAGATGCTTATTTTTTTAAAGAGTAAACAGTTCTTATCAATCAATGTGGTGTTATTTTCCACATGACTCACTGTGTTAATTGGCAACAATGGTTTAGACAAACAACTGGGAACAGATCTACGTCATGCTTAAATCGTTTTGTTTTTACTGTTTATTTACCTTAACCAAAAATATTTTATTTATTTATTTTTTAAATAATTTTGTTCTTGCATTTCACCTAATATCAAAGATCACCTATCAATCTCACCGAGCACGGTAATCCAACATTTCTAGAAAAATCTCAATCACGGCTGCTCTCCCAAACAGTAAACTTACAGAATTAGTCAAGCTCTCCCTTAATTCTCCATCTTGTTGGTGCATCCTAGGGTTTGATCGCCCAATACAAACAAGCCTGCATAACCTACTTGCTCCAACGAGACAACTTCTACAACGACGTTATCCAGCGGCCAATCTCCCAGCTCAAAACCAAACAGGGCAGCCTAAAAGCCTCGAAACTTCAATGCGACGACAAATTTGTCAGCCTCCAGTCAACGCTGACCAACACGCAGAGCAGTATTCGCTCGAAGATGCCTGAAACTCTTCGGTCCTACACACAGATCAGCGCCCTCCTGAAGGACTACCTGGGCTACTTCAACGTCTCAAAGTTTCAAATAGCCGAGGTGTTTACAAGCGAACACGGCAAAATGGTGTCCTTGATGGGGGAGATCAACCAGTCGCTCGTTTCAAACTTTGAGGAAATGAAATCAAACGCCGTCGGCATTAAAAATTGCTTTTCTCTCAACCATGACGAGATTGTCCACGATGAGACCTTGAAAGTTGAATACCAGGCGAGAGGTCGTGAGTTCGGCGTAAAGCAAAGTGATTTCTTGCAGTTTAAGGAGGATGCGATGAGGCTTCTTGATGACCTGGAAAGTTTGGTGGGTCTTGAAGAACCGGTGACGGAACTTCAATTATTGGTTGAGGTGATTCTGAAAGACGCAAATCAGTTCACTGAAAAGGCTGTCATCAAGCTACCCTTTTTCCGGTAATTAGAATATACTAGTCACTTTTTAACTGACCGGTCAAATTATAATTTAATTAGCAAGTCATTTTGAATAGAGTAGCCATTTTGAAAAGGCATGCCATTTCGAATAGATTATTTATTTTCACTATGACTCATTTGACTCATTTGACGGAAAGGAGTACATGAAGTTCTGAGTTATTTTTTTCTAGCAATATTTATACACAATTTATTCAATAACTACATTGCTGACGTTGTTATCGTCACTGCTGCTTTCTTTTTTTATTTGCTGTTTGTTTTTGGTGGGGTTGGTGGGGGTTCGGTGGCCGCGTGGGGGTTTATTTCCCTTGTCTAATCTTTTTATACCGCGAAAGATAATAGTAGTTAAAATTGTTCAGCCATATTCGTTGGTTTTTTTCCCATATACAAAGTCAATCGGTTTGCCTAGAATGATGTTCATATTAATTTGTTAATAAATTTCTCTTTTTCTTTAAATATAATCCGAATACTTTGCTCATCTTTCCCTCTTCAAACCTGTGAACAAAGTCACGTCTCTTTGACCGTGAAGTCTGAACTATCCTGTTACGAAAGTACTTCACTCTATAACCGAGGTTGATGTGTCTTTATTATAATTGAGACATCTCGGCGACTCTTTTTTTTTAGGAACTAAGATGTGATTGGTGCGATTGAAAAAAAAAGTAATAATTCAGTTGTGATTTGTTTTTCTGGGAAATTTTATCGCACAGGAATTTTATTTATATAAAAAACATTCAATTTGAGCCATTTTTTTTTTTTTAATTTTTTTTTTAATTTTTTTTAACAACTTACGGTTCATTTTTTTTCTTTTAAATTTTGTGTCAAAGGAATGAGACCCTAAACAACCCCAGGACAGCCAAGACTTAAGACTTAATACAAGATATGTTCAATCTGTCCACAGTGAAAACTTCATCTTTGTAGACGTCTTCTTCTCTGAAATCAGCTACACGATAACAGAGCAACAGGTGGCTTATGACATCATCAACCTGCTGAGTGAGTCGGTCTGGCTGTTTATGCATTAAACATCCCTTGAATGTTCCATGGGCACGTCCTTTTGGTTAGACCAGTGTCGCAGCTCGATACATTTCAAAGGAAACATAAAAGGGGAAGTGTCTGATGCTGCACAAAAGGGGTACGTCTTTTGAGTCAGACGTCACCCAGCAGAAACAGGAAGAAAACGAGCGGATAACTCTGAGTGCATTTTTAGAATTGCACAAAATATTTTCAAAAATATTCAAAAGTAATTTATTTACTTTGTTTTGAGACAGGGTTTGTTTGTTGATGTTTTTTTTGTTGTTGTTTTGTTGGGTTTTTTTTTTGTGACTGGTACTAATAGTCGCAGCCTAACAGTAAATTCAAAATTTACACCACCACCCCCCACTGGTTTGTTTGTTGATGTTTTTTTTGTTGTTGTTTTGTTGGGTTTTTTTTTTGTGACGGGTACGAATAGTCGCAGCCTAACAGTAAATTCAAAATTTACACCACCACCCCCCACCCCCCCCCAAAAAAAAAAAACAACAACTGTTTTTACACCTTGTCAATTTTTATAAATGTTTATTATGATCGCAATGATGAATTCATTGCCAATCTCCGAGAATACATTTCTTGCTCAGATTTTCAAAGGACCTTTCACATTGGATTTCACCATCTCAAACCTCTCTTTTTTAGCACGCTCAGATACAGGGAAGTAGAAACCTTTGTCTGCCATAAGTCATCTCCAGAAGAATAAGTATCTTTCAAATGGTGGTAAAAATAAAAATAAAAATTTGATCTTCAGAAATTAATCAAGTTCCTCTCTTTCTTTTTTTTCCAGGTGACATTGGCGGATCCATGGGGCTTCTAATAGGGGCAAGCGCCGTCTCAATGTTTGAGTTCATGGACTTCTTCTGCCACATCGGCGTTTTGCTGTGGAAGAGAAGCAAGCCACCACTAGATACTAAACCATAGCTAGGATATATCTAAAGGTGTATGGGTGTAAGCAGGCCACCGACAGATACTAGACCATAGCTAGGGTGTATCTAAAGGTGCATAGGTAAAAGCAGACCACCGATAGATGCTAGACCATAGCTAGGGTGTATCTAAAGGTGCATAGGTGTAAGCAGGCCACCGATAGACACTAGACCATAGCTAGGATGTTTCTAAAGGTGCATAGATGTAAGCAGGCCACTGATAGATACTGGACCATAGCTAGGATGTATCTAAAGATGCATAGATGTAAGCAGGCCACCGATAGATACTGGACCATAGCTAGGATGTCCTTTTTTATAGGTGTTAGCAAGCCCTTATTAGATACTAAACCATAGCTAAGATATCTCTAAAGGTGTATATAGGTGTAAGCAAGCCACCAATAGATAATAGACCATGGCTAAGATATCTCTAAAGGTGTATATGGGTGTTAGTCTATTATATAAAAAGTAAACGTGGATTCATTTAGTTACATTTCTGTGAAGCAATCTTTGCCACGATCTCCCTTCTATTGCTTAAAGAAACTGTTATTGTTAAGTTATCAAAAGGACCCGGTCTCCGTTGTGTCAAATACCGGGCTTTGAAAGGTCAACTAAAAAACTTAACTATTGTTTTACTGAAACAAAACCTTCGTTATCCTGGCGTATAATTTTATAGTTCCGGGGTCAGCAAACCGAGGTAAAAATACCCCCTAATGGGTTAAGAATGAAATCTTTGAGATAATGAGGACTCAATAGACACAAATAAAAGGATATTTTTAAAAAGTGGGCTGATCGTTTATATTAACTTCACTTTTGTTCGTGTGTTTCGTCGTGGGTTCGTGGCTAAATCTGAGGAGAGTCTCATTTACCCACTTCCCGTCGACCTGTCGGACTGAATCTTGGCACATAGACTCCTTGCCGATGACAACACATTCTTTCAAATTTTTAGCCCCACCCCCAAAAAAAAAAAAAAAGTTTTTCCTGTTTTTCAAGGGGGACGATGAAGAAAATATGATTTGTCCAATCGGTGTGTGTGTTGGTGTGGAGATTAATGTAGCTGTTGCCATGTGCCTAGTCGTTGTGACGCATTTGGGTATGCAGAAAAAAATACAATGAATACATAAAGGGTAAAATGGAGGAAATATGAAACGTGTTTTCTCCAGAAGTTGACCCATTTACATGACTGCTTCTTAATAAATGACAAATCACGCGCAGTTACATAAATGCAAATACAGATGCCTATAAATGATTATACGAAAAACGCTGTTTTGGGGGACTGTTCAATTACACCATCAATGTGTATGCTTGCAACACGACTTGTGTCCAGTGTAATATAGAAAACACAACAAACAAGGGGTGAGTCGTGGATCGGCAGCATACGGCACTTTGTCTTTATATTTTATCATACGCTCAAAATTTTCTGGATTTTAGTTTAAATTTATATAAGAATTCCTTTACACGTCTCAAGAGATTCAAGGGGTCAGTTTGAGTGTAAACAGTCTAAGAGTTTCTTCCACCCCCACCTCACCCCCACCGGAGGTCATAGCTACAGGTTGAGCACCGCTGCTTTAGGGGGAGGTGACTATCATGTTAATCAAAAAAGAGCCACGGGTATGGAGTAGGTAGGCGGCCAATGGCACCCGTGACAGACTGAGAACGCAAACTGATTTTCATTTCGGCAATACATTTTCAGTATAAAAAAAAAAAATTGTATACTTATTTTTAAAAGAACTTGTTTTATAGATTTCTTTTAAGATGTTGGGTTCATATATTTATATATATATANAGAGAGAGATTGACGGAGGCTGAAAAACGGTTCCAGGCGGTTCCCGTATTAACTCTGCACACACACACAAACAGACATATACACGCACACACACAGACACACACACGCACACACACACACACACACCCCCCCACACACACACACACACACACACACACAAAGGTTCCTTCTATTTCCTTTCTTTTTTTTTTTCGTTACCGATACACCCATAACTCTTACAAAATTTCAAATTTTAGTGCCTTACAAAAACTTTAACGTCTGCACCAAACTTTAACTCTCATTATGGAACAGCGCCGGACTTTAGGGTGTGCGACCTGTGCCCTCGCACTTGCCGCCGAGGCCATAGGTGGAGCCAAATAAAGATTCAAATTCCCTTAGTTTATTATAATGAAGTGTGAACTTCGGGTCCAGGATCGAGAGATACGGCTTTCTAACGTTTCGTACACGGCGTGTGCTTAGGGTGCCATCAACGATCTTCCAAAATCGAGAAAAGCATTGCATGGGGGCGCCATGGAAGACAAATTATAGAAAGTGCCATAAAAATATTTTCTAAAAAAAAAATATACTGAAACACGTTAACAAAAACAATTTTATTGTTCTTAGTTTGTTTTTTTTTTTGTTTTTTTAAAAACAACCTAGGTAATAAACTTATTACCGAATACCTAGGTCTTCCGTTAAAAAATTATACTTAAAGGGGGCGCCAAAGTAAAGCTTGCACGGGGCGCCAGCAACAGTCGGGCCGGCCGTGTATGGAAGCAGAGCCGTAAAATAAGACCAGCAACCATTGCGGGCAAATGGAGCCTTTGGTATTTAAAGTGCCCAGAGTTGTGAATGCAAGGGCGCAAAACCGAAAAGTGGCATGGGGGCGGGCGGGTGGGGGCTCCAAAAGTTACGCGACGGCACTGTATGGAAGTCGTGTAATGAACTTAAAATTACGATAAGGTGATTTAAAAACCACAGCGAAACAAAACAAATGTACAATTTATTTAGTTATTACGATTTGGTCTCGGTGATGTCACTGGGGGGGGGGGGGCGAATGTGCTTACCGCCCCGGATGACATCCTCACAGGAGGGTGATACTAAATGGAAAATGGCAAATCAGACTGAGCTCACTCGAGTCAGTTTTATAACGTATCTAAAACAAATGTACAATTTATTTAGTTATTACGATTTGGTCTCGGTGATGTCACTGGGGGGGGGGGGGCGAATGTGCTTACCGCACCGGATGACATCCTCACAGGAGGGTGATACTAAATGGAAAATGGCAAATCAGACTGAGCTCACTCGAGTCAGTTTTATAACGTATCTAAGTTAAATATAACATAAGATTGTGCCATCACGCAACTAATAGTCACAATGAGCTTATATTATATGATCTAGCAAATTATGTAGACTATGTGATTTCAATTTAGAGTATTTTTGGACAGCTCATCTGAACTATCCCACACTGACCAGATGTCGGAAGTGATCAGAAATGTGTAAATCAACCATAGGAAATTTGAAGTGAGGGAAATGTTTCTATTTGATTCCCCCCCCCCCCCCTTTTTTTTTTTTTTTAAAAAAAAAAAAATTCCGAAGACTTTAATTCCGACATTCTTTAAAAAAAAAACTGAAAGTGATAGACTGGGTGTAATGATTAGCCAAGGTCAAGGTTGTGAAAATGCTGCCACGACGTCTGCAATTGGTTGATTTGATATTTCTATCGCGCCGGTATCCATGCCACTGTAGCATGCTCACTGCGCTCTGGTCCTCCGAAATCTATTTAAACAAACAAGTTTTTAATTGTTTCTTAAATGATTTTTTATCATGTACTATTCCCCTCAAAGATTGAGGCAAACTGTTTCATAATTTTGGCGCTATCGCTTCAAAAGAGCGCACTCCGTACGACTTTTTTCTGTGTTTATCCACACTAGGAACACTCAGCCAGTGGCGTAGCGAGGGTGTTTGGCGCCCAGGGACAAGATCCATTTTAGCGCCCCTTTTTCTTTTTTTTTCAACTCTCAAACCCATTATCTTCATCAATAAAATAATATCAAAGCACATTTTGGCGCCCCTAACTAGCTGGCGCCCGGGGACAAGATTCGCGCCCGGGGACAAGATCTATTTTTAGCGCCCCTTTTTCTTTTTTTCAACTCTCAAACCCATTATCTTCATCAATAAAATAATATCAAAGCACATTTTGGCGCCCCTTAAGAAAATTTTAATGAATACAAGGCGGCGATTGAAGCTCTAACTGACCCCCGTACACGTTTGAAGACACGAGGTACAGCATAAAGTCGTTCGTCTGCTGTCTGTCATGTCTAGTTTTGTCTGTTGTCTGCGATGTCTCGTTTTGTCTATTGCCTGTGATGTCTCGTTTTGTCTATTGCCTGTGAGGTCTCGTTTTGTCTGTTGCCTGTGAGGTCTCGTTTTGTCTATTGCCTGTGAGGTCTCGTTTTGTCTGTTGCCTGTGAGGTCTCGTTTTTTCTGGTAACTTTACTTTTGGTGCGATAAACTTGATGAAGTTATTTTTGCTCAGTAATAACTGCAGGCTAAGGTTTTTACTATTTGGCAAAGCGGTGACAAAGGTAAAAGTGCTAAGACTGTTTTTGTTGTTGTTATTGTTGTTGTTGTTGTTTTTTAACGAGAAGCACAGTCAAGTAGTGAAGCATGCATTTAAACAAGCAGTTTTAAAATAAAACCAATACGGAACTTCAGTAGAGCATACTATGGTTCAAGAAGAAATATTCAGTAGGTATGGAAACATTTAAGAAACGCTGATACTCATTTAATAATAATAATAAAGTTTATTTGAAAATCACGCTTCATCCCAAAGGCTCGAAGCGCGGTACAAAGTCAACGATGTTAAAAGAGAAATGAAAAAAAAAATCTATATTATGCCACATTGAGATACAAAACGCAACGTTACAAAAACTACATACGAGAATACCCATTTTAAGTCTTTCATCCCTTACAAACATAAACAACGCAGGCCAATTTACGTCTAGCAAGGAAGAAAATAAGAAGGCGAAGAGATAAAAAGCCATTGTGGGAATAAAGGACATTTTAGGCTGTTCCATGTAAGGGTCTACTCTTAGCGGCTAAAGAGGAGCTACTGGTGCCCATTGCTAAACTTACC